TATTTACAGTACTGAAGAGGCCGTAGGCCTATAGTACATCTAACATACAGTAATGCAGAGGATCTCATATTCATTGCATCATAATAAAGCATTATTCTATTCTATTCAATACCTTTTTGATAAACTAGGACTAAATTATATCTGGTTTTGACAAAATCTTTAAGATCCTGCTTATCTGGAAGATTAGTCAAGATAACCAAACTGACACCAATCTAGAGTGTTGGATAAGCTCTGGACACAGTCAGTGTATGTAACCCAGTGTATGTAACCCAGTGTATGTAACCCAGTGTATGATCATCAAAATCAATGTCTAAATTTTGCAAACTACTCAAAAGAACTGGTTTTGGTGAGTCTTGCATGTCTTATTTTCGAACTTGAAGATGTATATAAAGAAAATGTCTTATTTGTAAACTGTCACAGGTTTATTCGGCAATTTCTAGCAGACGTGAGTTAGTTTGCACGTATGTTAACTATACTTACAAAAGGTAATAATCCATGCTTAGAAACCTGTCAATTACCTACCTCCTTATCTAACGGTATGCTGTAACCTTTATGAACCCTCGGGTCTATGCATACGCTCTCGACAAAGATGTTCTGTATTTACTCTATAGTTATGTGTACATGTTGTTGAAATGATTTTGTACTTGTAATAATGGTTGAAGTGTAAACATAGGTCGGCAGAAACTATCAGCCGGCAGCCTGTAAACAAGCAATTGCAATACTGCACGAGACAAACCAGTAATTGATATTATGAACCGTCCAGGTACGATTACCTACACTAAACCAAATGTGCGAGTCTGAACAACCGATACATCAAGCTGCAGCTTAATGAAATACCGGGACCCATGTTAACATAGATTCAGCGAGGTCTGAGTAAATACTTTAGTTCGGCTGTAACAACATAGTGATTTATGGTTGGTAACATATTAATAAAGCAAACACTGGTATTTTCTGACAAGTGTTAATGCTGTTGGAACATACACAGACATCAACAACTGACATATGTGCTGTGTGAACAGATTAGCTGCAGAAGTAAACACAAACAAGATGAAGATAAAGGTTTGTAGCAGAAGTGGTGGACTATAATAACATTTCAAACCCATCTCATATAAAGGACACCATGTTGACGCTGTAACAGAGAAAGTATAAGAGTCTTCAAAAGTTTCACAACCAGAGTAGAATTCGCTGAAATTTTCCACAAAGGATCTTTTGTCTTTTCAGAAAACATGTTAGATGTGAACAAGGTACACTTCCGGGAAGTGTACTTTTTTCACATTTCTGTGTGCTATTTTTTACGATAAACTCAAATACCTTCAAGTTGTAATGGGGAAGTGAAGAATTATAAATAAATAAATTACAAAAACAAACACGTCGAGGAAATAAGTGCCTCTTTGTCATTTTTGACGTTTTATATATTACAGAAAATAATTTTGGCTAAATTAATAATAATTTTTTCTGCCATCTGTATAAGACTGATTCTAACTGAATCGACAACTACATTTACGTAAATATAAACTTTAAGCAATGAATATCTACCAAAATATTTTCCAGACCAGAAACAGATTTTTGGACAAAATATATTATATATTTATATGATTGAGACCATTCCATATTTATATAATTAGTACAGTTTACATTTTTCACATGCATCAAATACATATTTATATACTGAAGACGCTGACATATTAATGGAATGATCTCTATAAATAATGCATTGTTCACCATATCTGGAACTGGTAATTAGTGTTGCTATGATGTGTCTGGTCTGATCGATATCCTCGAGCTGTTTTCCTCCGCGGACAGAGACAGCCTAGTTCGGGATGTTTAATCAGATATGATATAATTCACTGTAAGCTAATATATAAATGGCTCCAAATTGACCAGTAGAATATCTATATGTGTGTGTTTTTAAGTCCAAGCGTTTTAATGTTCAAACTGCTAAATTGCAATATTGATCATTTTTACAGTGGTATAATCGGAATTTAGCAGTCGACTTTTGGTGGGGAATTCTTAAGATTGTGGAAAGGATTCCAGTGAAATCTGGGACACCTCGTAGTACTTTTCAAACTGGAGAGCATAAACTACGTCTCACAAGTGCACATTTTTTTTACTTATATCAGGTAAGTCACTCCAAGTATATCAATGTATCGTTAAAGTCTATGTATCTTCATGGTCGTGATAAAATCCATACATGCAAAACTTATTGTCAAACTCCGAATGTTTCGTACAACGTGTGAATTAGGCATATTTGGATCACTCTCTGACTTAAAAGGATTGTACTGTAGTTTCAACCGCTCCATTCACCTCAGTACGAACGTTTGAAAAATGTGAAGACAAGTTCAGGAGATAAAAGCTTTACGTTTAAACTTCAAGATTGTTTATATTTACCAGAATTCTGTTGTCTTTACAATGGTAATTACTAGTAACGTAACACAACAATGCAATTCCTTTCTAAATGCTATTCTTTATACAGTCAAACAGTTTTTACAACATATACTGTTCGGTTAAAGCGGAGGCTTTATAAAACCATGTATGTAGACTACCCACTTAAGTTCCACCTTTCATTAACAGTATGACTTCAGACCGATCGGCTTGGTATGACATGTAAACCTGGAGTATGTATGTGAGTGTAGACTCGGTGTAGTGCTGACCAACCAATAATCAGGGCGTTTCTGTGTATAAACCCACTTTCCCGAGCTTCTGGTCCGGGACGGAACTGCGGTGGGCGGCTAGGCCATCCTTGTCCAACATCATGCTCTACAGTGTCTGCAGGTGTTTCCTTAACTTTAGCATCATTATATCCATAAGAAGGTGCTCGCGATGACGAAGGTTCAGTTGAATACATCCACGATGAGCGAAATTATCGGGGGGTATTAACTTAAGACTAGGTATTCTTCAATACATCTGTAACTCAGTTGTGTTCAGCTTTTTGTTTCTGTCTCTTTAGCAAAGTGAGAAGCCTACAAAAGATATTTTCACATTTTTCAAAGCCAAAAACTGTCGTCTGTTACACAAGCTTTCGAAAACCAAAACATTTGAAAACCCTCCTTTGAAGAGATAGCTTGTCGAATATGACTGAATGAGTTGGTGAGCTTTTATGCCACTTTTTAACAATTCACCAGCAACATAACGGAACTCCAGAAATGAACTGCTTAGATTGTACCCATGTGAGGAATCGAACTCGTCTTCAGCGTGACGAGTGAACGCTTTAATCACAACGCTACCCCACTGTCCCATCAGTTCAGACATACTTGAAACGATTAATAAAAAAAACCCTGAATATTCTTAATTAAGTATAGTTATGTACATGAACACATTTAACTTTGTCCCGTTATTGACTGTCTTTCTTTGTTATAAATATATACGCCAAATACAAATTTGCTTCAGACTCAATAAATCTGACGGAAGTAAAATCAACAGCCCCGATATAGATATGAAGGTTTTATTCCAAGGTGGTTGTGGCTGGTTTAAGAAAAGAGGTACGTATGTTGCCATTGTCAATGTTAACCTGAATCAAAGTGGTAACTTCCTCCGCGTGAACATCTGAGGGGAGTAATTGTTCTGATAACACATTTTCCATGATGTCTCTGAACTCTACAGATTTCGTATACAGAGAGTTCGATCGGTACCCTGACTTCCTTTTCACATATTTGCCAATATCAGAATCCAACTGTCAAAACTAAACTCAGTCACTCAGTAACACAAGCACATGACCAATCACTCACTCACTCAACACGACTGTTTCCACATTAGTAGTGATGTAATCACACATTAGCAGCGCTGAGAGTTAACCAAGATTTAGATACATTTACCTGCCAGAACATCAAAAGACAAAACTGAGCTATGAACAGCCAACAATTACTCTGAGGAATACTTTGTTAGATCCTGTTTTGTATATTTTTCAGTCGGTATAGTTGAGGCTATTCTGTATGTGTAGCCAACAAAGGTAATGCCTAATTTGGTATTTTAAGAAAAACAATTATCCAGGAAATTTAATCTTTGAAGGGCATTTAGAGGTGGAATGCATAAAAAGATTAATATAACATCAGGTAATATTGACAATGACAGCTGATACGGATGCTCCGTTTCACCTGATGAAGGAGCAAGGATACACTCCGAAACGTCGTGTTATTCACAATAACGAAGTTAGCAACCATAGATCTTGCTTTTCTTATCCATGAAATTATTGGGATCGTCTAATCGTTCGTCACGTGACTATATACGGAGCATCCGTATCAGCTGTCATTGTCAATATTTCCTGATGTTATATTAGTGAAATGTCAATGTCCACATACTTGCGTGCATAACAGTTACCAAGTCAATATACATCATAAGGCTAGATCGGATTCAGATATGACATTGTCCGTACACACATTCATATCCACCGACCACGTTTCCAAGTCTGTCTGTGTGAGAGAGAGAGAGAGAGAGAGAGAGAGAGAGAGAGAGAGAGAGAGAGAGAGAGAGAGAGAGAGAGAGAGAGAGAGAGAGAGAGAGAGAGAGAGAGAGAGAGAGAGAGAGAGAGAGAGAGAGAGAGAGAGAGAGAGAGAGAGAGAGAGAGAGAGAGAGAGAGGGAGGCAGGCCAAGGGCCAGTTTCTCCAGTAATACATACGGCAAGCATATTTCGCTGTGGATAGTTTGACATAGGTATTTTACGAACGTTTCTTTCCCCAGCCGGACGGGACGGGTATTAACATTCTCGGAAACGAATCAAGGGCCCTTATTCTCGAAACGTTCGAAGTCCTAAGAATTCGTAACTTCGATCGTAGCCAATGTGTTAAGTATGGGCTTAAGAAGTTCGTAGGGCTACGAACGTTTCCAGAATAGCTAGCCTGTGCATTATTTGTTATGTGGAATTGTCTTCAAATAACTGATAAAAAGAACAAACTGGAACAATCTAGACTCGTCAAAGAATTAGAATAAAATACGTCGTCTCTTTAACCGAATAACACGAAATCGTGTAGAACTAACACGATCTTTATCAGTGAGAGAAAAAAAACCCATCTGGCCGGTGTTCGAGCGTTGTGAGATAGGAGTGGCCACTTTGTAGGAAGACTCTCGGACAATCCACTAGCCATGGGATCTCTCACCATTCTCTCCGTTCTAGCACTGGCAGGTAATTTCATACCACTCACAAATTTAATAGGCATTTTATAAGATAAAGATTTCTTTATAAGATTTGAATCATTGTCTGACAAAGCTTGATCAACGATCGTCTATGTCAAGAAGCTAGTCATGACTGCTTGGGCTATATCAGGTAGTTTCAATTACACATCAAACATTGATTAATTAAATCATGCCCGAAGGTGATGACGTAATTGACGTTTATGTCATGTGAACGCCACAGTGATAAGGTTCGTATCCATGCCATGTACGGGTAATTTAACTGCAGGATTGTCTGTTTGGAGAGTATCTTGACACGTTTTCGGATAAAGATGACGAGAAAGGTCACACATTGTTCCTGTGCGGAACTACCCAGCAGTTACCGGTGTCTTTTGTGTTCGGTATAACGCTCCGCTAGAAAGATATTTGACATATAACCAATGGGGTAATTCTTGAAGTAACAAAGGAACACACAGCCATTTTCCTTGTAGGTACATTGGGACACTGAAATCGTGTGAGGTGGTGCTGGTAATGACGTAGATAATGGGGGAAATATAACCATTTCTTCGTTCTGGGCTCATATTCCATGATTATGGTAAAAGAAATAGCTAGTCGTTAAATGCTACTCGCAACTTCCACCATAACTGTCTTAAAATGACACCGTGTGACCCAAATATATGCCTTTTTCTTGGAAGGGACGTCTTACATAGCTTTTGCTGACTTGTTTTGTTCTGTGATGATCCATATACACGTTCACGTTACTGACCACTGGCTGGCCTCCAACAGGCCTGATCACCCAACACAGGTCAATATGAACTGATATTCCTGATCATGGTGTTGTGTTTCCAAGCATGTAATGGCAGGTAACTCTGTTGTTTATATACCCCGCATGTATTCCGTGCTGGATTGGATTGCCCTGAGTCAGTTTACTCCTGTATGGTCAGTTATGACTGTAGTCACCGGTTTACCTGGTCCAGATTCAGTATGTCACCCTGACGAACGTGGAATATTAATTCCTGGTTTAAACAAATCCACTTACTCATCAATATGACCCGTGAAGATCCGGGTTAGAATTGATCTTCAGTAACCCATGTCGTAAGAGGCGACTAACGGGATCGGGTGGTCAGGCTCGCTGACTTGGTTGACACATGTCATCGTATACCATTTGCGTAGATCGATGCTCATGCTGTTGATCACTGGATTGTCTGGTCCAGAATCGATTATTTACAGACCGCCGCAATATAGTTGGAATATTGCTGAGTGCGGCGTAAAACTACTCACTCACTCACTCACTCACTCACTCACTCACTCACTGACTAGGATGTATGTTTCCATGTTTACTTGTAGCTTGTGCCTCGGCCCTCACTAGGATGTATGTTTACATGTTTACTTGTAGCTTGTGCCTCGGCCCTCAGCAAGAGGGAGACGTGTGCCACAGTAGCGGACTGTTCAGGGATTACTGTGTGTGGAACAGCAGGGTCCCTCATCTGCGACAACGGCCTGTGTACCTGCACCAACGCTTGCGACCCCGACCAAGACCTCGGTAACAAGCGAACCTACAATTGAAACTGCGTGCGTGCGTGAGTGCGTGCGTGTGAAAGGGTAGGGGGGATACCACAGCCATGCATCGAACTCATATGGAATTCCGGGTTGGACGACGTTCCTGGCAACGTCATCCGAGCCGGCTAAATTGACGACTTCGTACACGACGTGTAATCGCAAATCTACTGTTTGGGACATATTGATCACACTATCCCTGAAGCATATATTTTCAACCACTTCAATGCAAGGTCCAAGACAGTTGATAAATGAGGTTTATCTACAAAACATTAGCACGAACAAAAACATGCCGAAGTTCTACACGTCGTCGATATTGATCTTGTAGTTCCGGTGTTCGCCAACTATATACATATTGAAATAGACGTATCTACTAGCCTGTCTCACAGTCCCTGAACCATATTATTTTCCTCCCGCTCAGCCCTTTCTACACTGCTAAAGCCTATATGAAGCAAGTCGGCAGGTTCAGGTCCTTAATCTCCCTTCTCATTGGCGCTCGTTTTCAAATTTGAAAGAAATCGTCTGTTTCTATCAAAATTCTATATATTCAGAGACTAAGCGTTAGTCTAACGCGTCTACGTTTATGCTGACTGTTGTCCTATTTTGCCAAATCATACTAAAGATCCTAAATTACACGACATACTTATGTGTCAGGGATTAAGTTGTGAATGAATTTTCTTCTCTCTAATTCGGAAAAATCGATATTTATCGCTTAAGAAGATGTAACATGATTCGTGGGCTAAACCCTGATTGAATTATTGTTCCATATCTAATTTCCACACTCCAATTGAATGGGTCGATGAAGTGGAATTTTAAATACTTCAATTTGATGGTCTTTTACAGGTAGGGACGGTGGTGTAGCCTAGTGGTTAAAACGTTCGCTCGTCACACCGAAGATCTGGGTTCGATTCCCAACGTGGGCGCAATGTGTGAAGCCCATTTCTGGTGTGCCCTGTCGTAATATTGCTCGAATATTGCTAAACGCGGCGTAAAACTAAAACTCACTCACTTTTGCATTGAATGTCCCAAACGGCGGTATGGCGACATAGCAAAGGTCGGACCGTAAGCCATAATTGTTTGCTTCTATCAAAAGTATATATACCCAGATACTAAGCGGTAGTCTAACATACATACATATATGCTGACCACTGACCTATTCTGCCAAATCATACCTCAGAGCCTAAATTACTAAAAAAGTATTACATATTGAATGCATTAAGTATTGAATGGAATAAGTATTCAAAGGATTTTGTTCGAATTCGGATAAATCTATACATATATCGCTTTTGCCATTTTATATATGTTCCATATCTAATTTCCACACTCCAATAGAATGGGTCGATGAAGTGGAATTTTAAATACTTCGATTTGATGGTCTTTTACAGGTAGGGACGGTGGTGTAGCCTAGTGGTTAAAACGTTCGCTCGTCACACCGAAGATCTGGGTTCGATTCCCAACGTGGGCGCAATGTGTGAAGCCCATTTCTGGTGTCCTCTGTCGTAATATTGCTCGAATATTGCCAAACGCGGCGTAAAACTAAAACTCACTCACTTTTGCATTGAATGTCCGGCGGTATGGCGACATAACAAGGGTCGGACCATAAGCCATAATTGATTGCTTCTATCAAAATTATATATATCTAGATACTAAGCGGTAGTCTAACATACATACATATATGCTGACCGTTGACCTATTCTGCCAAATCATACCTCAGAGCCTAAATTACTAAAAAAGTATTACATATTGAATGCATTAAGTATTCAATGTATTTTGTTCGAATTCGGATAAATCTATACATATATCGCTTTTGCCATTTTATATATGTTCCATGGCTAATTACCCTACTCCGATCGTCTCGACCTCTGAATGGGTCTATGAAGTTGTAATTTCAAAGATTTTGAATTGATGTCAACAAATTATATATGGTATGATAATGTAACAAGGTTCGAACTGTAAGCCACATCCTTAAGGCTACCCTTGCACGATGGAGTGATAGTATTCAAAGAATGTGGTTTTGAAATGCTTAAATAAACTTAGCTAACACAGACAAATGGCCTTCACGTTTACGATTTGTTTGGTTTTTTCGCAGCCCAATGCACTGACCGTAACGAATGTCTGACACGTTTCTTGGGTGGGGACATCACGTGCAACTGTGCAAGACCATGGCGATCCTTCCACTGTATCGACAACTACTGCCACTGTGGATATCCAGCGTAAGTCGCTCAACCAACTCGAACAGTTTCGATTGCGATTCGAATGATACGACACGTAAATAAGCTTCCAATAAAGTTATTTTCTGTGGGGACCGCCTCCGTGGTGTAGTGGTTAGAGCGTCCGCCCGGAGAGCGGAGGGTTGCGGGTTCAATCCCCGACCACGTCACACCAAAAGACGTTAAAATATGGTACTTGTTGGATCCCTGTCCCTGGCGTTCGGCATTAATGGGTACAACAAGGACTGGTCGGCTCGGAGTCAGTATAATGTGTCTGAGTGGGGTATTCATGCTTCACTGCGGCATGGTATCTCAGTGGGCTAGCACTATAAAACCAGCTTAAGTCTGGGCTAGTACAAGCAGCCGCACCTAAACCTACACACGCATGCACGTCGTCATATGGGCGAAATATTCTCAAGCACGACGTTAAACCCAATTTCACCTCACCTCGCCTATTTTCTGTGGGACGTTTCTGATACAACATGATGTAACGTCACATTCCTATCGGGGCTGTGATAGCCAATTGGTCTGAGGTTTTAATTACAAGAGAATTGAGATAACTACCTTTGATTATCGAGAATGATATTACGATACAAGATAATGTTATTGTTTCGCCTTTATGTGGTGTTTATTAAACTTAAGCATTTGCTTTCATTTCAGGTCTGGGAATTAATACATAACACGCTTGACGTATTTGTTGTATGAATATGTCGATAAATGATAATTGTCCTACAACGTGTTGTGTTTTAAAGCAGGGAGCGGTTAGATAGTTCAAACTCAGTGGTATATTCACGACATACGTCATGTCGGGTTTCCTACAACGGGGTGCCTACAACTGTGAGGTCGTCAACAACTGTGCCATAAACACCATAACTGTAGGTCGCTGGAAGTCATTTGCTGTTATCAATTATTTTCCCAAAGGCACCACTATCGCCACACACGGAGAATATAAAACCCACATATTGTATTACACATGTACACGCTCGCACACGCACGCACGCACACACACACACACACACACACACACACACACACACACACCAAACACAAAAAAAACACAAACACACAAAAACACACACACACAAATACACACATACATATGTCTTGAAATATCAGACTCACCCATTGGGCATTTACATAATTCGTATAAGTGCACTTTGTCCGTTAACATGTATGTCATCCTAGAACTTCGTGGCTTACACAGATTCTTGATACTATGTATAGCAGAAGGCTATATATTTTAAGAAATCTTAAGACAAAGCTGAAGATAAAACAGGAACGACATGCATTCCAAACGTTCGAAGTCCTAAGAATTCGTAACTTCGATCGTAGCCAATGTGTTAAGTATGGGCTTAAGAAGTTCGTAGGGCTACGAACGTTTCCAGAATAGCTAGCCTGTGCATTATTTGTTATGTGGAATTGTCTTCAAATAACTGATAAAAAGAACAAACTGGAACAATCTAGACTTGTCAAAGAATTAGAATTAAATACGTCGTCTCTTTAACCGAATAACACGAAATCGTGTAGAACTAACACGATCTTTATCAGTGAGAGAAAAAAAAACCCATCTGGCCGGTGTTCGAGCGTTGTGAGATAGGAGTGGCCACTTTGTAGGAAGACTCTCGGACAATCCACTAGCCATGGGATCTCTCACCATTCTCTCCGTTCTAGCACTGGCAGGTAATTTCATACCACTCACAAATTTAATAGGCATTTTATAAGATAACGATTTCTTTATAAGATTTGAATCATTGTCTGACAAAGCTTGATCAACGATCGTCTATGTCAAGAAGCTAGTCATGACTGCTTGGGCTATATCAGGTAGTTTCAATTACACATCAAACATTGATTAATTAAATCATGCCCGAAGGCGATGACGTAATTGACGTATATGTCATGTGAACGCCACAGTGATAAGGTTCGTATCCATGCCATGTACGGGTAATTTAACTGCAGGATTGTCTGTTTGGAGAGTATCTTGACACGTTTTCGGATAAAGATGACGAGAAAGGTCACACATTGTTCCTGTGCGGAACTACCCAGCAGTTACCGGTGTCTTTTGTGTTCGGTATAACGCTCCGCTAGAAAGATATTTGACATATAACCAATGGGGTAATTCTTGAAGTAACAAAGGAACACACAGCCATTTTCCTTGTAGGTACATTGGGACACTGAAATCGTGTGAGGTGGTGCTGGTAATGACGTAGATAATGGGGGAAATATAACCATTTCTTCGTTCTGGGCTCATATTCCATGATTATGGTAAAAGAAATAGCTAGTCGTTAAATGCTACTCGCAACTTCCACCATAACTGTCTTAAAATGACACCGTGTGACCCAAATATATGCCTTTTTCTTGGAAGGGACGTCTTACATAGCTTTTGCTGACTTGTTTTGTTCTGTGATGATCCATATACACGTTCACGTTACTGACCACTGGCTGGCCTCCAACAGGCCTGATCACCCAACACAGGTCAATATGAACTGATATTCCTGATCATGGTGTTGTGTTTCCAAGCATGTAATGGCAGGTAACTCTGTTGTTTATATACCCCGCATGTATTCCGTGCTGGATTGGATTGCCCTGAGTCAGTTTACTCCTGTATGGTCAGTTATGACTGCAGTCACCGGTTTACCTGGTCCAGAATCAGTATGTCACCCTGACGAACGTGGAATATTAATTCCTGGTTTAAACAAATCCACTTACTCATCAAAATGACCCGTGAAGATCCGGGTTAGAATTGATCTTCAGTAACCCATGTCGTAAGAGGCGACTAACGGGATCGGGTGGTCAGGCTCGCTGACTTGGTTGACACATGTCATCGTATACCATTTGCGTAGATCGATGCTCATGCTGTTGATCACTGGATTGTCTGGTCCAGAATCGATTATTTACAGACCGCCGCAATATAGTTGGAATATTGCTGAGTGCGGCGTAAAACTACTCACTCACTCACTCACTCACTCACTCACTGACTAGGATGTATGTTTACATGTTTACTTGTAGCTTGTGCCTCAGCCCTCACTAGGATGTATGTTTACATGTTTACTTGTAGCTTGTGCCTCGGCTCTCAGCAAGAGGGAGGCGTGTGCCACAGTAGCGGACTGTTCAAGGATTACTGTGTGTGGAACAGCAGGGTCCCTCATCTGCGACAACGGCCTGTGTACCTGCACCAACGCTTGCGACCCCGACCAAGACCTCGGTAACAAGCGAACCTACAATTGAAACTGCGTGCGTGCGTGAGTGCGTGCGTGTGAAAGGGTAGGGGGGATACCACAGCCATGCATCAAACTCATATGGAATTCCGGGTTGGACGACGTTCCTGGCAACGTCATCCGAGCCGGCTAAATTGACGACTTCGTACACGACGTGTAATCGCAAATCTACTGTTTGCGACATATTGATCACACTATCCCTGAAGCATATATTTTCAACCACTTCAATGCAAGGTCCAAGACAGTTGATAAATGAGGTTTATCTGCAAAACATTAGCACGAACAAACACATGCCGAAGTTCTACACGTCGTCGATATTGTTCTTGTCGTTCCGGTGTTCGCCAACTATATACATATTGAAATAGACGTATCTACTAGCCTGTCTCACAGTCCCTGAACCATATTATTTTCCTCCCGCTCTGCCCTTTCTACACTGCTAAAGCCTATATGAAGCAAGTCGGCAGGTTCAGGTCCTTATAATCTCCCTTCTCATTGGCGCTCGTTTTTAAATTTGAAAGAAATTGTCTGTTTCTATCAAAATTCTATATATTCAGAGACTAAGCGTTAGTCTAACGCGTCTACGTTTATGCTGACTGTTGTCCTATTTTGCCAAATCATACTAAAGATCCTAAATTACACGACTTACTTATGTGTCAGGGATTAAGTTGTGAATGAATTTTCTTCTCTCTAATTCGGAAAAATCGATATTTATCGCTTAAGAAGATGTAACATGATTCGTGGGCTAAACCCTGATTGAATTATTGTTCCATATCTAATTTCCACACTCCAATTGAATGGGTCGATGAAGTGGAATTTTAAATACTTCAATTTGATGGTCTTTTACAGGTAGGGACGGTGGTGTAGCCTAGTGGTTAAAACGTTCGCTCGTCACACCGAAGATCTGGGTTCGATTCCCAACGTGGGCGCAATGTGTGAAGCCCATTTCTGGTGTGCCCTGTCGTAATATTGCTCGAATATTGCTAAACGCGGCGTAAAACTAAAACTCACTCACTTTTGCATTGAATGTCCCAAACGGCGGTATGGCGACATAGCAAAGGTCGGACCGTAAGCCATAATTGTTTGCTTCTATCAAAAGTATATATACCCAGATACTAAGCGGTAGTCTAACATACATACATATATGCTGACCGTTGACCTATTCTGCCAAATCATACCTCAGAGCCTAAATTACTAAAAAAGTATTACCTATTGAATGCATTAAGTATTGAATGGAATAAGTATTCAATGGATTTTGTTCGAATTCGGATAAATCTATACATATATCGCTTTTGCCATTTTATATATGTTCCATGGCTAATTACCCTACTCCGATCGTCTCGACCTCTGAATGGGTCTATGAAGTTGTAATTTCAAAGATTTTGAATTGATGTCAACAAATTATATATGGTATGATAATGTAACAAGGTTCGAACTGTAAGCCACATCCTTAAGGCTACCCTTGCACGATGGAGTGATAGTATTCAAAGAATGTGGTTTTGAAATGCTTAAATAAACTTAGCTAACACAGACAAATGGCCTTCACGTTTACGATTTGTTTGTATTTTTTGCAGCCCAATGCACTGACCGTAACGAATGTCTGACACGTTTCTTGGGTGGGGACATCACGTGCAACTGTGCCAGACCATGGCGATCCTTCCACTGTATCGACGACTACTGCCACTGTGGATATCCAGCGTAAGTCGCTCAACCAACTCTAACAGTTTCGATTGCGATTCGAATGATACGACACGTAAATAAGCTTCCAATAAAGTTATTTTCTGTGGGGACCGCCTCCGTGGTGTAGTGGTTAGAGCGTCCGCCCGGAGAGCGGATGGTCGCGGGTTCAATCCCCGACCGCGTCATACCAAAAGACGTTAAAATATGGTACTTGTTGGTCCCTGTCCCTGGCGTTCGGCATTAATGGGTACAACAAGGACTGGTCGGCTCGGAGTCAGTATAATGTGTCTGAGTGGGGTATTCATGCTTCACTGCGGCATTGTATCTCAGTGGGCTAGCACTATAAAACCAGCTTCAGTCTGGGCTAGTACAAGCAGCCGCACCTAAACCTACACACGCATGCACGTCGTCATATGAGCGAAATATTCTCAAGCACGACGTTAAACCCAATTTCACCTCACCTCGCCTATTTTCTGTGGGACGTTTCTGATACAACATGATGTAACGTCACATTCCAATCGGGGCTGTGATAGCCAATTGGTCTGAGGTTTTAATTACAAGAAAATTGAGATAACTACCTTTGATTATCGAGAATGATGTTACGATAAAATATAATGTTATTGTTTCGCCTTTATGTGGTGTTTATTAAACTTAAGCATTTGCTTTCATTTCAGGTCTGGGAATTAATACATAACACGCTTGACGTATTTGTTGTATGAATATGTCGATAAATGATAATTGTCCTACAACGTGTTGTATTTTAAAGCAGGGAGCGGTTAGATAGTTCACTCAGTGGTATAGTCACGACATACGTGATGTCGGGTTTCATACACCGGGCTA